TGTCCCGAACAGGTAGCGATAAGGAAATATTACCTAATGTAATGCGATAAAAAAGCCATTCATTAAAACAATTAAGATCTCCAATAATTACATATGAAATCAACATTAAGAAAATTTCTCTCTCCCCCACCCAAAAAAGAACACACCTGCATGACATCGAAACTTTATTATTATTTGAGCTGTTCTAACGTCCCAATAAAAAATGCTTTTTGTCCATTCCACCGGATGCTATATGTGAGCTATTTGCTGAAGATTAAGCATCTACGACATCATATCCATGCCCCATATAAGTCTTCAAGAATAAAACACATTTTACTTAGGCTTGGTGAGTACCTAGTACAGAGTGTGTAGCACTCTGTACTATGTATGTAATACTAAGATACATAACACTCTGTACTAGGTAAATAAAAAATAAGCACCTTTTAAGCATTTAATTTTAATCACTTATAAAAAAAATCATAATTAGGATACGTGCAAATATAAAAATTATTTCTTCCTATTGTTAAAAGTTTTTCATTTATATAATCAACAAAATGCAAAAACTTTACATAATCATGATAAAATAACAAGTTACTGCTAAGTTAAGCTTCTTTTTGCAATGTATGACGACGATTGACACAGCAATGAAAAATCTTTATTTGAAAGAAGGACAATTAAGCACTTTTTATAAACCCTCAGTGGAAAAAAAAAACCTTTAAATTCTTTTAAAAAATATGAATCATTTTATAAAAACTCTACACACTCTGTAGTATTCATAATATGGCCACAAAAGAATTTTTAATAAAAATGATTCTTATTAGGAATAAATTAAAAAAAATTTCAAGTAACCTTGCATCTTATTTTGAAATGATTCCTTATGAGTAAAACTATACACAAATAGCCAAAAAAAGGAGAGGGTAATACTAGACTAAAGCAAAATACAATGTGGATCAAGCAAAAATGAAAATGTCTTATCATATTTGTGCTTTATTTATTCAAATGTTTTGTTTTTTTTTGTTGCTTTGCTTTAATCATGCCCATATAATTCATTTAAATTAACATACAAAGAAAATATGCTTGAAAATAAAATTTCTGTTAGAAATTTCTGTCAACTTTAAATTTCAAAGTACTTTCCTAGTGGTGGCTTCACATAAGTTCTGGTCTTTCAAGTCCTACCTTCCTCAGTAGTGATTCAGTTCATTTAGATATATTTGCTTATTCTCATTTAAATTTTAATTTGCAACCACTAAAACTTTTTTGAAAAAGGTTTAAAAAATACACACTAAAGGTGATCATTTTCAAATACTCTGTACATACATTTACATATATAAATATAGAAAATATTTCTTTTGAGCGAATTTTAAAATTAAACGGTTACAAAGTAACAAATTGCTTGCGATTCTTTGTTTCTAATAAAATTAANAGACCACTGAAATTCACTGTAATGGCAACAAACAAGTGCCATGTACAAGTGAAACAAATTAAACTATAAACTAGACAAAATTGGAAAATTAAGAGAGAACTGTTAGAATAGATAAATAAAATATGCAATATACTTTTTTGTTGTTGTTACTCACTTATGTTTAATCCCTTTAGACAAGTTACACATGATTTGAAGCTATATTATAGTTTTAATAATAATAATAATAGTTTTTAATAATAATCTTAAATTAATAATAATGTTAATATATTTCTATGGTCAACTTTATATATTTAATTGTCATTAATAGTAGGTCAAATTTAGTCTATAATTAGTGGTTTGGACTCACAAATGCTGAATTCAGATTTTATATAAATTAATATTTGTTGTGAGTGAAGCATTTTTATTTTCATTTTTATAATATATTTCTCTTTAAAGTTAAAAAATAATTAAGAAGAATTAATTTTTACATGTGTAATTTGTAGCTTACATATGTAATTTGTTCAAATTTTTTAAAGAAATTTTAAGGTGTTTTGAAATAGCTTTCAGTGGAAACACCTGTTTAATATGTAAAGAACATTGGAAATTAACTAACACTGCTAATTAACTAACATTAAATTAACTAACATTGGAACACTATAAAAAGGTTTAAAATTAAAAAAAAAAATATTGTTTGAAACTTGCATCTATTGATACTGATAACTAAGAATTTGCACACTATGATTTAAATAGTCAACTAAGATCGTAATTACCAACATTGAGAGGGCGAGATGATTCCTACACCCTCCCAGTACACTACACCCGCCTTGGCCTTCCTCTCTTCATCTAATTAACATTAAAAAATAATAATCTTCAAAACTCTTCTAAGAGTTTCATTAGAGAGAAGACATTTTTAGGCAGATTTAATCCCACAGTGGTTTTAAAACCAGTTTGACAGAATTTAATTTTATAAATCAACTTTATTTTTTAATGATTAAATTTTTAGTTAGAGAAGTTTAGAAATACTATTGCTACTCAAAATTGAGTATAGATTTAAATATTAGTGCTTCCCAAAGTAATGGCTACAGCTTTAAAACTTGCAGGCAATGAAACGTGGGAAACTATAAAATAAAAAAAAGCACAAAAGAGGAGAAACTTAATGCTTCCTCAGGCAAACCTCTACATATTATTACNTTTATAATATATTATAAATATTCAGCATTCATAAGACTCACTTTCTTTTTAAAGTTAAAAAATAATTAAGAAGAATTTATTTTTACATGTGTAATTTGTAGCTTAGCTTCAAATTTTTTAAAGAAATTTATTCAATCATTGTTAAGGTGTTTTGAAATAGCTTTCAGTGGAAACACCTGTTTAATATGTAAAGAACATTGGAAATTAACTAACACTGCTAATTAACTAACATTAAATTAACTAACATTGGAACACTATAAAAAGGTTTAAAATTTAAAAAAAAAAATTATTGTTTGAAACTTGTATCTATTGATATTGATAACTTAGAATTTGCACACTATGATTTAAATAGTCAACTATGATCGTAATTACCAACATTGAGAGGGCGAGATGATTCCTACACCCTCCCAGTACACTACACCCGTCTTGGCCTTCCTCCCTTCATCTAATTAACATTAAAAAATAATAATCTTCAAAACTCTTCTAAGAGTTTCATTAGAGAGAAGACATTTTTAGGCAGATTTAATCCCACAGTGGTTTTAAAACCAGTTTGACAGAATTTAATTTTATAAATCAACTTTATTTTTTAATGATTAAATTTTTAGTTAGAGAAGTTTAGAAATACTATTGCTACTCAAAATTGAGTATAGATTTAAATATTAGTGCTTCCCAAAGTAATGGCTACAGCTTTAAAACTTGCAGGCAATGAAACGTGGGAAACTATAAAATAAAAAAAAGCACAAAAGAGGAGAAACTTAATGCTTCCTCAGGCAAACCTCTACATATTATTACTTTTTCTTAAAAAAAAATTAGGAGGTTTGACTAGGGATTCTCCCATCGACCATTTTTGCCCAAATCAGACAGCATAGCCGAAAGGCAGCTTCAGCACCAATAACTGCAAATTTTATGATAATTATTGTGTAATTCTAGACTACGCAAGTTAATTTCCTTTAGCGTGATGAAATGCAATGTTTTTTTTTTCCCACTCTGCTGCACAATGAACCCATAATTTCATTGATTTATCAGATCCAATACAATAGTTTCCATCAACTAAAAGTAAATAAAAGGGTTTAGCAACAAAAACAAAGAGCTAATTAGTTTACAAAACATACAATTAAAGCGGATTGCGCTATTTTACAACAAAATTGATATCTTAAAATATTAGGATGTCCCATTGTTAGAGAAATACATAAATGAATAAAAAGTTTTTAGTTTGAAAAAGTTTCTAGCTTAGCTCTACCAACTTTCAAACTTCCTGCAGAGAATTGATTATGATGGATTGATGGGTCTGCACCCCTACTGGTTGTGGTAAAAAAAAATATAACATTAATGTATAGCTTACATAGTATTACAGTTAAAATCTCTGCTATGTGTTAAAAAGCCATAAGCTCATAATTTTGCAGCATAAAGCTGAAAAACTGTTAAGTGTAAGCAAGTTCGAATTTTACTAAACTATGGATGTAATTGTAATTGTTTATGTTCAGATCCCCGGATTGAAATAGCTAGTGAACGGTCATACCGTGCTACTCCGATACTATTATCATGAATTCGAGAGCCCAGATCTCGCGCGCCTAAAAGTGGTATTATTCCACCACCTGATTCTAACATAGACGAAAAAATTAGCACCGCCCGATGTTATATTGCTTTCCTCAGGAAGAAAATTCGTGCCACTAATTCTTCTGCTGACATTAAGAATATTTATTCCGATATCGACAGCACAACGGCTGAACTGAACAGGCTCTTACACATCAAAAAAGCTGTTCTAACGTCCCAATAAAAAAGGCCTTTTGTCCATTCCACCGGATGCTATATGTGAGCTGTTTGCTGAAGATTAAGCATCTAAGACTTTATATCCATGCCCCATATAAGTCTTCAAGATCGACGATTGCCAAGGAATCTAATATCCCCATAATTTCATTGATTTATCAGATCCACCGGTCATACAATAGTTTCCACCAACTAAAAGTAAATAAAAGGGTTTAGCAACAAAAACAAAGAGCTAATTAGTTTACAAAACATACAATTAAAGCGGATTGCGCGAACAGCGCCTATTTTACAACAAAATTGATATCTTAAAATATTAGGATGTCCCATTGCTAGAGAAATATATAAATGAATAAAAAGTTTTTAGTTTGAAAAAGTTTCTAGCTTAGCTCTACCAACTTTCAAACTTCCTGCAGAGAATTGATTATGATGGATTGATGGGTCTGCACCTCTACTGGTTGTGGTAATAAAAAAAAATAACATTAATGTATAGCTTACATAGTATTACAGTTAAAATCTCTGCTATGTGTTAAAAAGCCATAAGCTCATAATTTTGCAGCATAAAGCTGAAAAACTGTTAAGCGTAAGCAAGTTCGAATTTTACTAAACAATGGCTGTAATTGTAATTGTTTATCATAGACATAAAGGAGTATTGTAGTCCCTGTTGTTTATGTAATTGAACACACAAGCATGCAAAAAATAAGTGAAACAAACACCAGTAAAGACAGCTTTAATGGCAAAAGCGAAATCTTAAAACTACTTTGATTCGAAACACGAAGATTTGTTTCAGTGCGGAAAAGATCATTTTGAACATGGGTCGAAGAATTCTTGCCGACAAATGTTGTAAGACTAAGTATTGTACAACTCGTCTGCTTCCTTTTCTCTGAAATTATAACTATTCATTTCTCTTTGTATGTCAATGTTATAAGTTGATTTATAACAGAGCAAATCTTGAACTCCTGTCTATTCTTGATCTGGAGTATATTATAAAATTTTTGAGCTTTATTCTTGTGAAAAATGAAATCTTGTAGTTAATTTTATGTTTAGTAATTTTTGATCCAAATGGAGTAATGTAAAATATCTAAGAATTATATTGAAATATCAAATTTATTNTGGTTGTTGCTTAAGAAAAAAGTTGCATGCTTTTTTAAATTTTTTTTCACTTCATTTTTGTTTGCTATGTTGAATAGTTCTGATAATAGTAGTGTGATAATATAATAAAGGGCAATTATGATGCTACAGAAACAGAAATTCAAAAATAAAAACTGATTTTATTTTATGTAAAAAAGTTTTATTAAATGTTACTAAAAAATTATACATATTAAAAATATTATTTCTTTTAGTTTAAGTTGTGATTTTTTTAAAAGGGAAATCCAAATGATTTAAATGTGATTTTAGTAGCAATTTAGATCAAGCTGATTCAAATTGGTTTATTATTGTAACACATTGTTCAAAAATTGATGTACATTTTTGTTTAATATAGGAGTGTTTTCTTACTTTGAGTGGCCCACAAGGTGTCAGAGAGACTGCAGCGGTCAAAGCTTAGGTAAATCTCGTGATATTAAGTTATTTGCTTGGTCAAATAAGCATCAAGAAAATACTAAACACAAATAATGGTAACATCATTTTTTCTTTCCTGAGTTTTGTATTTAAAAATATTTAATGTGCATAAAATTGTTAAAATATTAGGTATGCAATTTGTTATGTGCTTCTCATGTTTAACTTGACTTCTTTATTTTTAAAAATCCACTGTCAAAATAGATTTTAAAATAAAAAATAAATGATAAAAAAATCATTATTTGAAAGGCTTAATTTGATTTAAATTAGTTAATTTATTTTAAATTTACCAATTGAAGATCCAGTACAATTTATAAATATTTTTCAATAACAAAACTAAAACTTCTGAATATTATGGTTAATGTTATTATACAATTATTAAAAACAAATCCCTTAATAAATAAAATTATAATTTTCTTTCAAATGAATGAAAATGTGGGCTTAATATAACATATTTTTATAATATTTTTAAATTTCAATGGTGTCCATTAAAACATTTGTTAATAGTTGGCAAGATTTTCTAGTTCTGAATAATTAAGAATTTTAAGTTCAATAAAAAAGGTGTTAAAATGAATTATGGATTTCAGATATTACTTATTAAAATTATGTGTTATAAACACAAAATAATAAATTTGTTTTCCAATATTTTTTAACCATGTTAAACTTAATTTTAAAATTTATTTCAATTTAATTTCAAAGATTTATTTTCATGTTAAGTGAAAGAAATGTTGAATCAATCTTTTTATAGAATAATTTTCGGTTTTGAAAAAGTAGAAAAACTTAAGTTACTGACTTTATTTATTTATTCTAGCTTGAATTTAATGCAGGGAATTATCTTCTGCATAGCCTTTTTAAAAAACTTGTGATCTCAGTAAAACTTTTAATTCATTCTTTCAAACAAAAAAGGTAAGAAGAAAGAAAAATGAAATTAATATATTGCTGTATATTTTATTTATTTTATTTTAATTCCGTAAATCTATGTCATAAGAGTATTGCAAATAAACATGTGCATTTATTCACATTACAAAGACAAGAATTAAATTTTATAAACACATATAAAAATAATTTTTCACTGCAGCAAAGTCACTCAAAGAATAAAAATGTTGAGAAAACATGTCAACATTACTGTCTCTTTAATTGTTTAATAAATAATTAAAACAATTTCTTTTCATTTTGCAAAAGTTTTTTTATTAATTCTTTAACTTAAGTGAAACCGACTAGTTTGATGCTATACGCTGAAATTATGTGACTAAATTAAATTACATTAATGGAAAATTTAAGTATAAGCACATAGAACGTGGAGATGATGATGAGGGGCAGATATATTTCAATTGACTAAATTCTTGAAAGTGTTGATTCGTTTTCAGCGATATCGAATGCTTAACCTAAGACTTTTCTTCTTATTTTAATTAATGAATTTTTTTCTCTAGAAATGTATAATGAATTAATTTTATTATTTTAGAATTCTTCTTTTATTATTTTAGAACTGACAAATAGTATGCATAAATAATAACAATAACCATATTTTATAAGTACTATATAAAAGAAAAAGGAATTAAAAATTATAAATTTAAAAATAATTTCTAACTATAGCGAAATTTCTATTTACTCAAAGAATAATATTGAGAATAAATATAAGTCTTAATGTATATTTAATATATAGAAAAAAAAAGAAGAAAAAACACACTGCATTAGTAAATATTTACTTAAAGAAAATACTTCAACTCTAGTTCAGAAAAAAAGAGCTGAAATGTATTACATTACCTTTTAATTTTTGAACATTAGTGCATAGATTGCAACGATGGTCGATAGAAATATTTTAATGAACTAGATTTATGAAAACACTGATTTTTTTCATGCAATACCGAATTATAAAATCATCCACATTATAGTATCTAAATGTATACTACTTCTATCCAATCTGCAACTGATTTTATTTAAGTAATTAAGCTGCAATGGAGCATTATTTTAACTAAAAAAATGAAATTAAATATTATTTTCTATGAATTTTAACACCACTGATTTTAGCCAAGAAGAGATTCTCTGTAAGGAGCGGCATAACCATTTCTTCAGATATTTTAGTAATAAACAAACAGTTTAGAGCTTTAAAATCTTTCTTTCATTTTGCACACACTGTCAACACCGTAAATTTAATTCTTAAAATTTTGACTAATCGTATACAAAGAATGTTCGAACGATATAAGTGATATCAAAATTAAAAGAGCATTGAAATAGCCTTAGCGGATGGAGGAGGCACGTTTCTATTCAGCAAATGTGACGTCATAACCAATCAAGGATTGTTTCTTATTGCATCATTTACGGAGGCCTTTTTGAGAAATTAATAATATTTAATAATTAAACAAATAAGCATTTGAAGAAAAAATAATTATATTTTCGGATTCAGGAGAGAATTTCCAATTAGTTAGAACTGAAAATAATATGCTGCAATTGCCCATTATGTATTTATTCAAACTAGAATTCTTACATAAAATTTGATATATTTGCCTGTATATGACTTCGTTAACATCTTTTATACCTTTAAAAAATTAAATAGTATTTCTATTCTACATTTTGTATAAATGTTAAATATATTTTAAAATCTCTCTTCTAGGCATATTCTGCTTTGGAGATCAGATAACCTCTAGGGAAAACATTTCATAATTGTGACCTATACTAACAATTAACTTACAGTATTCAAAAAGGTACTTTTTTTTAAAATTAAAACATTTTCGTATCAATGACTTTGGATATTTTTGACTATCTATTTTGAACCGTCGACCCAATTCTGAGTTTGCTACTATCAACTCCGCAACCTTAAAATTTTGAACCCAACTACGAAGACACGGTATCAAGTATTGGGCGAAACTAGCCGTCGCGGAAGATTTTAGATGGAACTAAGATACATTTTCGTTACATGAAGAGGAAAATCACGAAAACATACTGTGGTAAACAAGACAGGAAGAGCATTATAACCCAATATATTCATAATCAACAGTTTCTATCATAGACTAATTATCTGTATTTATTGAAATATTAAATTATCTATATATACTAATNCCTTTTTGAAAAATTAATAATATTTAATAATTAAACAAATAAGCATTTGAGGAAAAAACAATTATATTTTCGGATTCAGGAGAGAATTTCCAATTAGTTAGAACTGAAAATAATATACTGTAATTGTCCATTATGTATTTATTCAAACTAGGATTCTTACGTAAATATTTGATATATTTGCCTGTATATGACTTGGTTAACATCTTTTATACCTTTAAAAAATTAAATAGTATTTCTTTTCTACATTTTGTATAAATGTTAAATATATTTTAAAATCTCACTTCTAGGCATGTTCTGCTTTGGAGATCAGATAACCACTAGCGAAACTCAAGCTCAGTCCTTATGTCTACTTCTCTTACAATCTTCAAAATATTTTTATATTCAAATGGTAAAAGAATGATACTTATTGAGGTGAGATTATTTTTATTTCAATTATTTAATTATCAAACAATGACATTTGAAAGAGTGGGAACTGGGAATTTTTTTTAAAATTAAATTTCTGTATTAGTTATTTTTAAAAATGCTTTTTAATATCTCAGCCTTTTGTTGGTTTTTTTTTTTTATTATAAGGAAATTAATTTTTCTATGGATTGCGGTCTTTTCTTTCTAGATGCTTCATAGTGATCTGGTGTAATTTTTAAAAAATTTATTTAGAGAATGATGAAGATAATTTAATTAATTTTCTGTTTTGTGTAAAGTGATAAAATATTGTTAAACGCAAATAAGAGTTAAATTTTTTAGTAAGTTAATTGTCCATTCAAAATATTTCCTTGAATGCAGATTATTATTATTATTTTTAATTACCTCTTTTTTTTTACTTCTTATAATAAAAATAATAACTAAATGTTAAATGTTTTAAAATAAATAATTTTTTTTTCTTTCACACTTTTCGTCACTTTTTTTCCTTTTAAAGCACAATTCTGCAAAATGTATTACATTGAAGCAAGGATCACAAATAATTGTTCGTGGACGCAAGAACAAGCATTTTTTTTTTCACCTTCAAGTTTGACTTAAAACTGTTTTAAACTTTACTTATCAATGAGATTATAATAATAATTTAAAAATTGAAGGTGACCTCCCTTTTTCCTGAAGTTGCAATACAGCATTAAAAGATCATCATTAGTGTCCACTGGAATGGTACGGAAGTTTCTAAAAGTTTAACGAAAGATTAGAAGAAAAAGTATGACTGAAAAATTTAAAGAATTCACCTATGACTGGTTGACTAAAAGTGGCTTATAGCATTTTCAATTTAGCCCCTGAACTGTCTTAAATAAAATATACTAAGAAAATAAACATACTGGAAAAAATATTTTCCAGATGTACTCATCATTTACTTATATATTTTATAATTTTTCTCAGATTATTGGATTGCAACAATTTTGTTTTCAAAGTCTTGTTTATTATGATAGAAATGATTTCAAAAGTTGAAAAACATATAAAAATAATTATAAGTGAGATCATCACATTCATCAAGTACTGATTATTAACAATTTTCAATTTTTGATTAACAGTTTGAAGCAAATGAAAATTTTAATTTCCTGTTTTTTTTCTCCTTTTTTTCCTACTTTTGCACTCCTATGAATTTGTTATAATTGTTTCTTTATCTGCAATTCAAAAAAGGTTTTTCATCCATAGTACATGAAAATTTATTTATTTTAAGTAAATTTTTCTTATAAATGTTATTGATGACCGCTTGTAACAAGCAGTTATATAATTATATAAAACAGTTTATTGTGTAAGCATTTTTATATTGTTCTTACTCAAAAAAGTATCAAGTTTTGTACTTTTCTTCTAATAAAAATACTTTGATCTCTTAATTAATTAATTTGTATTAAAAAACAAGTTCAATAATAAGTTTTAAGTAAGTTCAATTTTAAGAATATATTTTTTTAGGAATCTGATAACTTTGAATTTTGACATGCAAATTTTTTCCAGCATTCCTTCCTTTTTTTATTTTTATTTATTTTTAAATATAAAAATATTTCTGAACGGTTTTTTTTTATAAGTTGATTTACTTAAAGTTGATTTTTTTCTAGTTGATTTAAAGCTTATGTAAAAAATGTTTGCTTGGAAACAATTGAGTTCCTAATTAAATCATGTTCATAGTTTAATAATATGTTTCAGTTAAATATTATTGTGCATTGTTAATTTTATTTATATATTTTTCTCTTTCAATTGTGCCCCAAGTACTTTTTAATTTTTTTTCCTCCATCAGGAGTTTCCAAATGTGAGTAAGGGATCCAACCATTATTCATTGCATTCTAAGGTATGCATTTTTTTCATGCGTTTGTTTTTACTTTATATTGAAAATTCATGAAAAAATATTTTTCTTTGGAATTTGAATCTTTAAAAAAAGTTTTGCCAGCTCCTTTGTGATTGTCATTTATTAACATCAAGTAATGTACATTTACTTAATAAAAAATACGGAAGATATCTAAGATTTTTTTTCAACCTGGCAAACATTTTGTTACCACTCGGCCACAAATTTTATAAAACTAAAGCATTGTATACAATTTAAAGAATGACAGCTCTGTATTTTATTATATTTTTTTTTTTTAATAACGGCAGGCACTGAACTTTCGTTCTTCGCCTTAGAAGATGCCGGAAGTGTTGCTCATTTATCGTTACCCAGTGGGCACCTGTGAACCAAAGTCACAGAGGCGAGCAACATTACCCCCGCCACACTGACTCAAATACCCGTTCATAGGGTAGGCCATGTTCATACATTCACACATCAGAAGACGACACAGATAGAGAGAAACATCCATGCCCAGAGCTGGATTCAAACCCGCAGCCATTGGCTTCACAGTCAAGCACGCTAACCACTCGGCCAGCTGGCCGGCGACAGCTCTGTATCAAATATTTTACCCAGGGTCCAGTTTTGTTCCTCTTATGCCCATAATTTCATAAAAATAAAAGAAATAAAAATCCCCTGAATATTAGTAAGTAAAAACTCAACTAAAAATATGGTATCGAGGCTATATTTTACCATAGCATTTCCATATTAATTTCATTAATAAACAATCATTCTTTTACAAAATAGTAATCTCTTCAGAGCATGTTACAAGCAATACAAAACACCAATAAAACCGTAATTGCATAAATAATATTCTTATTACCACCTTCATTATTTTTTCCCTGTTGCTCAATCACAAATCTGTCAAATTCATCACCACAATGCCAAATATCCACTTCTAATGCAGAGTTGCCTCTCTGAATATCTTCCTCTTCTCACCTTATCCTTCATTTCTTTTTTTCCATGTTTGCAAAATGCTTAAAATATCAGATCAGTCATCGTCAGATTTGGTAAGAATTAAAAATTTGTCAAAGAGAGCTGCAGAGCTAAAAAAAAAAGCTGTTTTGAGTTTATTTAATTTTTCATGATGTTTTTTTTTTTTTTAATTCTATTCCAGATATTATTTTTAATCTTATTCTGGTAATCTATTAACCAAAAATTTAATTGTTTCCTTAACATTTCTTTGAATATATTTTTATAAGTGGATACATGAAAGGTTGTATGAATGGATCCGCCTTATAAACAGGTGTGACGTATGGGTGTGGCAGAAGTCGAATTCTTGGCCGTAGATGGCCCACTGAAAACCAAGAACAATTGCATCACCGAGTGCCTTAATGGCACACAACAACATGGAATTTTTAAAAAAATTTACTATGAGAGCTAATAAGAAGTGAATTTGTTTTACCAGCATTAAATTTTTTTAATGCATATATGAGCCTTTAATTGCTCAAACTGTCAGTATTGTATCATGAAAATGATTTGTCATATCCTACTGTTACATCTGATTTCCAATTGGTGCTAGTGTTACCATTTTCCCTCGTGATGTCATCTTTTATGTCATACAATGCATTTGTTATGTGAGATTTGCTTAAGACAATGTATTATAGTCTAATTGTAAGCTTTTTCCCACTTAACAAGTACCCATTCTGATTTTTTGTCTCACAAATTTTTGTGCCTTCTGCTTAGAGTAGAATATATAGGTACTTAACTATAAAATCAACACTCAAAATGGTGACCTGTCCTACTTGGTCTAAATGAAATTGCACTTCTGAACAAGAAGTCGCTGCATCATAAATATATAGAATTACAGCAAATATTTACTCATAAATGCAGAACTTATTTTGACAAAAATATTATTCTTCTATGCTAAATTTTTGATTTAACTTCTAAGCATATGATATTATGCTGATTATAATATATTTCCGCTACATAACGCATGTTCAGAAAGCTCTTAAATCTGAGCAAAAATAAAGTCAGGAAGAATGCATTATTTATCTCCAAAATAAGTTATTTATTACAGTCAGAGAGACTGCAGCGGTCAAAGCTTATGTAAATCTCTTGATATTTAATTATTTGCTTGGTCAAATAAGCACCAAAAAAATGCTAAACACAAATAATGGTAAAATCTTTTTTTCTTTTCTGAGTTTTGTATTTAAAAATATTTAATGTGCATAAAATTGTTAAAATATTAGGTATGCCATTTGTTCTGTGTTTTTCATGTTTAACTTGGCTTCTTTATTTTTAAAAATCCACTGTCAAAATAGATTTTAAAATAAAAAATAAATGATAAAAAAATCATTATTTGAAAGGCTTAATTTGATTTAAATTAGTTAATTTATTTTAAATTTACCAATTGAAGATCCAGTACAATTTATAAATATTTTTCTATAACAAAACTTAAACTTCTGAATATTATGGTTAATGTTATTATACAATTATTAAAAACAAATCCCTTAATAAATAAAATTATAATTTTCTTTCAAGCTGAACAATATGCAGCTTAATGACAATGTGAGCTTAATTACATATTTTAACATATTTGTATAATATTTTTAAATTTCAATGGTGTCCATTGAAACATTTGTTAATAGTTGGCAAGATTTTCTAGTTCTGAATGATTAAGAATTTTAAGTTCAATAAAAAAGGTGTTAAAACAAATTATGGATTTCAGATATTACTTATTAAAATGATGTGTTATAAATACAAAATAATAAATTTGTTTTTCAATATTTTTTAACCATGTTAAACTTAATTTTAAAATTTATTTCAATTTAATTTCAAAGATTTATTTTCATGTTAAGTGAAAGAAATGTTGAATCAATCTTTTAATAGAATAATTTTCGGTTTTGAAAAAGTAGAAAAACTTAAGTTACTAACTTTATTTATTTATTCTAGCTTGAATTTAATGCAGGGAATTATCTTCCGCATAGCAGTTACCTTTTTAAAAAACTTGTGATCTCAGTAAAACTTTTAATTCATTCTTTCAAACAAAAAAGGTAAGAAGAAAGAAAAATGAAATTAATATATTGCTGTATATTTTATTTTGATTCCGTAAATCTATGTCATAAGAGTATTGCAAATAAACATGCGCATTTATTCATATTACAAAGACAAGAATTAAATTTTATAAACACATATAAAAATAATTTTTCACTGCAGCAAAGTCACTCAAAGAATAAAAATGTTGAGAAAACGTGTCAACATTACTGTCTCTTTAATTGTTTAATAAATAATTAAAACAATTTCTTTTCATTTTGCAAAAGTTTTTTTTATTAATTCTTTAACTTAAGTGAAACCGACTAGTTTGATGCTATACGCTGATATTATGAAGCTAAATTATATTACATTAAGGGAAAATTTAAGTATAAGCACATAGAAAGTGGAGATGATGATGAGGGGCAGATATATTTCAATTGACTAAATTCTTGAAAGTGTTGATTCGTTTTGAGCGATATTGAATGCTTAACCTAAGACTT